GGGCGCTCACTTGCTCCGAGAGCTCCGGCCCATGGGAGCATGGACTAACCACCGGGCTGTCCGCAATAGGTGGGCACTCAGGAACATGCGCTGCGCTAGCTTTCCAGGAATAACACTGGGTAGCATGGCTGGGGGGAGGATGCTTCTTGGGTTTTATTGCTTAACTTGTGTTGTAACACCCTACTGGCTATGTAAGGGTTTCAAGTTTATGTTATTTCTTTAGGACATAATGCAGCCAGGAGCAGCAGCTCAAATATGTGTGTTTATTCAGAATTTACACAGAGATAAAATGGGAAAAGTCACTCTCTGTACGACCTCAAGAAATCATAGATTTCTGTTTCTAGGGACCATTCCAATTAAAGCCATTTACTTACAATAGCGGCCCTCTTAAGTGAGTATCATGAAGAAGTAGCTGTACAGACCTAGTTTTGGAATGATTCATTTCTGCCAGCAATTATAATTGCTTCCATTTGCCATCCTAACGTGAGGAGGGAGCTTGGGGGCTGAGTCAGCTACCTTACCTTTCTCATTTCGGCAAAGACTATTCAGCTTAATACTGGAAACGTTCAGTGGCACGAGACGCAGCCAATGTTCTCTACTTTATTGCATATAGTTATTAGGGTTTAAATTTTTTTAATCATCTCATCTATAAACCTGTAACTAGATAAGTTCCTGGAGAAAACTAAGGGGCGGTAGGGGGGAATAATACTATCTTTGGCAAGGTTAATTGAACAGGAATGCAGACCAAAGGCCAGATAGCTATTTGAACAACTGGTATCAAGCACCAACAAAGATACAAGCTCTTTATCTTTAGAAGCTACTCAATAACTATTAGTGGCATCCAATCAATCTTGCAGTTCATTCATCCAGCAAACCTATAGAGCAAGTATTTTGCTAGGAAGTCTGTTAGCCAGGGAGGATTCAAGGAGGAGCCTTCTGTCCTTGAGCCTCACAGATAGAGGTAAGGTGGCTCGTGCAGTTCAGGCAGCTGTGACATCTTGATGTAGGAAACAGGCGAGCCCCCACCGCAGTTAAATCTACTTGACAGGTAGGAGAGGCTTCCTGGGAAGAGATAACTGGGTTTTGGAACATTTTTTTTTTTTTTTACCTTTGTGCTCATTTTCTTTTTTGGTAGGTTAAGCTTTTGCTCTACCACTTGAGTCATGCCCCTAACCCTCTTGACTTGTTTTTGTCAGTTGTGGGGCCTGAAATCTGGACTTGGGCACTGTCCCTCAGCTTTTCAGCTCAAGGCTAGCACTCTACTACTTGAGCCACAGTGCCACTTCTGGCTTTTTCTGTTTACGTGGTACTGAGGAATCAAACCCAAGGCCTCATGCACGCAAGGCAAGTAGCACTCTACCACTGAGCCACCTTCCCAGCCCCATGACTTGTTTTTAGATAGTCTTGTGCTATTGCCATTCAATCCTTGGACCACAATCTTTCTAACTTCATCTGTGGAATAGTTGAGTGAGGTTACAATATGCTTCACCATGCCCAGACCTATTTATTTTTTGATCAGTGTATATTAAGTTGTATCTAGTAATACATGCATTTAATGTAGTTCATATTTACCCTAATACTTTTTCTAAATCCTCTTCCCTACTTACTTTTTTTAAATTTTTTTATTGTCAAGGTGATGTACAGAGGGGTTACAGTTTTGTCAAACTTATTCCTTCATTATTTTAAGTTGAAAAAGTAACACATGCTCATTCATTATAGTTTGTAAAGGGAAAACAGACTCGAAATAACAAGTAAATATGCTATATCATAACAATGTTCTCATTCTCCATCCACTACACATCTCTGGCTACCTTTCAGCCCTTTCACTATAGATATGTGTACACAACATCTCCCTTCAAAAGAAGAAAGCTAGAATATCATAATGTACATGCTTTTGTAATTTACTATTTCACTAGGATTTGAACTCAGGATCTTCTGTTTGCTAGCCAGGCACTCTACCACATGAGACATGCTTCTGGCCCTGGTTATGTTGGAGACTGTCTCATGGACTTTCTTGCCTGGGCTGATTTCAAAACTGGATCCTGTGGATCTCAGCCTCCTGAGTAGCTAAGATTACAGGCAAGGGGCTCCTTGCTTGTAATGTGATGTTTTTAAAAAGCATTTTGTAGTAATCAGCCTTCAAGATAGTGCCTAATAACCTCCTGCTTCTTCACATTCACATGCTTCTTAGCTTCTCCCATACCATGTCAGAGTTGTGTTTGGAATGGAATATGGCAGCAGTAAGGGCATGGCACTCCTAAGCTGTGGCTATAGAAGGCTGAGGCTTTTTCTCTTTAGCAGTTACTCTGGAGAAAACAAATGCCATGCTGGAGAGTCACCTTGGACAGCCTACAGGAATCCTGCATGCTGAGTGACTGAGGCCTGCTAACAATCACAGGAATGAACAGACACCTGATCCTGGGCTGCCACCGAGACAGCTTATCTGAATGCCATGAGAATCCAAGCAGAACAAATCAGCTGGGCTGCTTCTGGATTCCCAACCTATTCCAACATGCATGCCTTAACTGCTAAGATTTGGGGCAATTTGTTACACACTAATACATCTATCAATAGCAACATGTTTTTCCATGTCAGTAGTGTGTGTGTGTGTGCATGTGTGGATGCCACTCAGGGCTTGAACTCAGGGCCTGGGCACTGTCCCCAAGCTTTTGTGCTGACGGCTATCACTTGTGCCACAGCTCCACTTGCGGCTTTTAAAAAAAATTTGGTGGTTAATTGGAGATAAAAGTCTCATGGTTTTTCCTACCCAGGCTGGCTTTGAACTGTAATCCTCAGATCACAGTGGGAGCAGGGGTTGGAGCAAGATGACATTTAGACAATAGCTTAACCTAAACTAGCAACAAATGAAAAAGCGTGTGTAGGGGTGGTCTATGAGGGAGATAAGTTTGGCTGCAACAAAATGAGTGTGTGGTTTGAGAGGGACCTAGGTGGAGAAGGCAGGAATTATTCAGTATAAGTAAGGAATTGCTAAGAGTTCATTTTTGAAAAAGTGAGATTATTGCTAAGTTATAGGCTAAGAAGAGCCAAAAATGAAAAGGCCAGCTGGCTGTCAGCCTGTAGCTCCTGGCAGTGATGGACCTCAGTAGGGCACCCAGACTCAGGCTCAGCGTCTCAGCTCTTTAGACTTGGAAACTCGATGTTGTCAGTTCCCTCAGGAATGACCAGTCAGCAGTTTTACTTCTTAACTTTCTCTGTGAGCCGATTTCTGTAATTCTTAAAGGAGGCCCGAGGTAGGACTACAGGTTTGGAGTCAGACATTCAGGCTTCATATCCAGTTTCATTACTTCCTGGCTACTGTGACTTTTTTTTTACTGAGAACTTTGGCTTCCTTGTCTGGAAAACAAGCAGGGCAGCCTTGTAGAGAGGTTAGAGATGAAAAGGGACAGCACGTGAGGCATCTGGCACTTGTCCCCACCCCCATGGGGGATGGATGGCAGTGAGCTGCCTTTCCCTTCGTCCATATTCTATCACTGCAGGTACAGGGGGAGCTTAGAAGGTGGAAAGGATGAGAGCTAAAGAATCAGTCATCAGGAGACGAAGGCTGATTTTTCAAAGCTGGAAGGCATGTCTAGGTGTTGAGCTATGAGCCTCCAAGAATTCAAGCATCTTGTACTTTGTCTCTTAGGGGAGAATCCTGCTGTGTTCATGCTTCTTTTTCCATACACACTCCAGGACACATTGGATAATCGGACAGCAATAATTTATCATATCAAGACTCTAAGAGCCTGAGCTATGTATCATGAAGTCAGGATTATAGGGGGAAATGATGGGCGAGTTATTTTTGTTTTATTTTGAGCCCAAACTTGTCTGGAGCTCACAAACTTCCTGCTTCCTTCTCCTCCAGAGTTCTGGGATTATAGGTAACAACCGTGCTCTGTGAGATACTAATTTTTAATTCATAGGTTATGTTTCAAAAGGCACATGATAAATCATTTTGCTAATGTCATCTCTTGCCTTCAAAAGGAAAAATAAAGAATTCCACTTCACTGTAAATATAATGTGGGTTAGGCATTTTTAAGGGGCTATTAAATTCTGCCTGTACAGAGAACACCCACTGTGGACCCTCTTCATGAGGGGAAGAAGGACAGAAGAACCCCAGGAAGTGTATCATGTGCCACTCAAGTGATAAGGTCGAGCACCTTGTTAGTTACCATCCATTTATATTAAGCAGTGTCACTTTTAAAAACATTAGTATTGTTGATGTAAGAAAAAGAGCTGTGCCTTCCTTGAGATCTTTCATTCATTTAACAAATGTTTGTCTACCATCGACATCTGTGCGCCAGGCCTGGTGGTCGTTGTTGGGAGGACATGGTCGGAGGCCTCGAGCTGATGGCACTGAAGTGTAGAGATCTTCCCATTCATGAAGCTAGAGACCTTGTGGGTACTTGTGGCTCCAGTTGGTAGCGACAACCTTCTAGATCCTTCAGGCACACTGTGCATATTCAAGTCCCTCTGCTGGCTCCACACTATGTCTTCTGGTCTACTTTTCAATGTATGCTGTCTTCTTTTTGAATCTTAGGTTGTTGTCTTAGAAAGACATGCACAAATATAACAGTCTATATGCTTGAACTTATTTTTCTCTAGTTATTACAAGTATATTTTGCTCATTAAAAATTCTCAAAAACTTAAGGGCCAGCCATGGTTTTTAAACACAGGGCTTCATGCTCACTTGGCATTTATGTGCAAGGCTGGTGCTATACCACTTGGGCTACACATCTAGTCCTTGTTTTTAAAAAGCAAGCTTAATTCACAGGTCTTGAACTTGCCCTGCGTCAGCCTCCTAAGTGCTAGAATTACACAAACCTTGGCTTATTCCATATTCTTACAGCATGGCACTGTTCCTGTATCCAACTGTTCAGGCGCATAGTAGATGTTCAAGAAATAGTGAGCAATTAAAGTTACAGCCCATATCTATATCAATATAATATATAGTATTGTGTTCATATATACACTTTAAAAGAATGTGATAATATCACAAGTAACCAAGAGATGCTGTTTATTTTTATTTTTCTCAGTAGCAGTGATTCTATTTTACATCAAAAGTGACAAATTAAAAATGAAATATATTACTATTCATATAATCCATTGATCTCCCATGTTTTAATTCATTTTATAGTACAGATATAACATTTTAATGGATACTATGCTATACCATAACATCAATTATACCTTAGGATTTTAAGAAATATGGCTTATGTGCCAGGATTACAAAGTGAACCCCAAATTCTTATCAGCTGCCTCAAACTGAGTCTAAAGTTTGAAAAATGAGGAATCTGAATAGCACATCAATGTGTAATGTCTGCTTTCAATAGTTAATTTATTTGCTGTTAAGCAGCTCTTCAGCAACAGCCTGTTTCTGAGCAGGGCTGAGCACCTCAGGCGGGAACAGCAAGACATGCAGGATCATATATTTTTATTGTTTCATCCCAGGAACAGTCAGCTACCTACAAAACAAGAACGAAGAACAAAGAAACACTTAGGTATACAGAAATTCAAAGTGGCTCAAAGATGTAGAGCAATAGGCTTGAGCAAAAAAATTCAGGGACAGCAACCAGGCTGAGTTCAAGCCCCACAACCCCCCCCCCCAAAAAAAAAAGTCCATCATAGAAGGCACCATCAGTCATTATTTACTTAGTCCTGAGATGTAAGTATTTACACCATGTTGTGTTAATTTACTCCTAACACATAAAGTTTATGTATTTTTCTTCAAGAGCTGGGACTGGACTTTCAGAGGATCAAGTGTCAACCATTACATACAAGACAATCAGAAACAAGACAGGCTTCTAATGCAAGATACTTAGAAATTATGGTTCTGAATTCTTATTCAGTGTTCTTCAGTCTGGTTTCTTACTCATTCAGGACTTCAAGGCCACTGAATCAGCAAATGTTCAGAAATCTATGCTTGACTTACTAATCAATCACAGGCAGATCTAAAACTGTAACGATACAGACTTATAAATATACTGATTCAAATCAATGCAAACAATAACTCAGCTCCATTAGTGAATTAAATCCCATCTAATTCTAGCCATTTAAAGAGGCTTACACTAAGGTTAAAAAGTGCTGCCGGCACATGTGACTCATGCCTGTAATCCTAGCTAATCAGGAGGCTGAGATCAGAAGGACTGCAGTTTCGAGACCAGCCCAGGCAGAACAATTTACTAGACTCCATCTCCAAAATAACCATCAAAAAGCAAACATTTAAACAAAGACCTTGTAAAACAAAGTCTGTTCAGAAAAAGACAAAAGCAATGTTAGGAAAATAAATAATAAAAAATAAATAATCTGCTTTACAGGCTGAGGGTCTTTAGCTTGTCAAGGAGGAATCCTGCCCACCACTCACCCCACTTCCTGGACTACCCAGCTCTCCTGGCTGCCTTCAAGACAGTGCCCAGGGTAGACCTCCTTTGCCACCCACCTTTGTTCTTTCCCAGCTCCATCCTTACATCTTTGCCTATTACCCTACTGCTAGACAACTGCAGAACAATGAAAAGAGCTAAAACATTACTATGTATCTTCAGTGGGATGTCGGTGTTGTCTGAGGACACTCTGGGCTTTGCCTTGGATTGTCTTTGACTAGATTATGTTTACAGTTCTGTGTATCATAGCAAACTCCTCGCGATGCAAATGATGGCATTCATAAAGGTTGCGGTGAAAACGGATCCTGCCTCCTCTAAGAACTGACACCAGACCTTTCAGTTCAGTGCCGTGAGGCTAGACCAATTTTGCATCTATCAGAAAATTCATGTCAGCATTTACTGATTACCTATATGTGTCTGATCTCTGATTCCTTTGAGCTAGCCCTAAAATCTCTTTTTAAAATTTTATTTGATTGTAAAGATGCTGTAGGGGGGGTAGGGGGGAGGGTTACAGTTACATTTTTTACCCCCTCCTTTTTCTCCTAATCTTCCTTCCCTCCCCCAACAGCTATAAAGTTCATTTCCAACAGTGTCTTGTAAGTATCATTGTTGCAATGGGTCATCCTGTGACCTTATTTCGGCATTTTGTTATTCCCCTTCCCCTACCCAAATTAGATAAATGTATATACAAGATGCAGGGTACCAAAATGAAATACGGTGGCAACAGTGGATAAACCATAGGGGGAAGAACATACAAAAGAAGCAAAAAAAAAAAAAACACATAGTACATTAAAAATGACAACGACAAAGAAAAACCTCTCGTGTCCATATCTTGGGGGTTCATTTCGTTTGGCATCATCTTATATGGTCACACATACATAGCTTTTGAGCTCTTCTGCTCATTTGATAAGATTACCCTAGACATATACTAATTATTGCAAATAAGGGAAACTATTGGACCTGTTTTTCTTTGGGTCTAAGCCCTAAAATCTTATATGAGTTATATAATGAATGAAACACAAATCATTGATGACACATGTTCACACCCTTTTTTATGACAGGTATATCCATATTTTGAAGATCTTAACACAGACACACACACAGGACATACAAGTTAACACGATCATGCATGGGGATATAGGTTAATGCAGTCATGTACAGGAATATATGTTAATTTGTCTTAACAGGGAAGCCATTGCTTCCATGGAACATAATAACTCTTACTTTTTAATAGGATAATAACACAGTAAGAAACAAGAGATATTCAATTATAAGAACAAACATTGTGAAATGGGGAGAGAGGGTACATAATTATACTAAAAAAGAGGGTAGAATAATTGTTAAAATTGTGCATGAAATTAAAGGCAAATGAGATATACAGATATCATGCTCAATTTTCTGGCTGAGATACATGCCTTCATTTAAAACAAGGAGTGATTCTATGAAAAAAATACATAATGTCTTCTTTCACTGTTTCTGTAGTTGTTTTTAATCTCAAACCTGAATAGACCCACACATCCTACTCAGCCATGAAGGTAGAGGTGCTCAGGGTTTTTGTTGTTGATAGTTAAAATGAATTCAAGCTCAGGATTAAAATATTCTTAAGGCAGACCACTCTTCCTCTGTAGAGAAAAGGTATTAATAAGCCACTAACCAATAGAAAGCACCATATGCCATATTCTGCCATTTCACTTTAAAAATCGAAGTTTCAGATCTAGTAGGTTGATACGGAGTGGGAAAATAGAATGGGGAGGACTCAGGAAGAGGAAGCCAGCTGCAGTGGTACCTACCTGTAACAACTCAAAAGGCTGAAATGGGAACATCTGAGGTCAAGCAACACTGTGAGACCCAAATCTCAACAAATCAAAACAAAACACCCAAAGCAACAATGGATATGTGACAGCACTCATTTGAAATCCTAGCTACGGAGGAGGTAAAAATCAGGGGAGCTAAGCATGGTGGTACATGCCTGTGAAGCCATATATGATGGTAGTGTCATAGTCTAAGGCCAGCTCCAAGCAAAAAGTGTGAGACTTTACCTGGAACAAAGTTAAAGAAAAAAGTGCTGAGGGTGTGACTCAAGTGACAGAGCACCTGCCTAACAAGTACAAGGCTCTGAGTTAAAACCAATTCCATGAATAAATAAACAAATAAAAAAGTAAATGAAGGCTTCCTTTTAGAAGACTCTGGAGGTGGCCTGTGTAGAATCTGTCAAATGACAGCTGCATCATTGTCTAATTTGCTGACAGAGTCATGGAAGTACACAGGAAACTCACACGATATCTACCAAGAGTAAAGGGAAAAAGTGCTTACAAATGCACAAACCTTAAGGAGGGGACTCACAGTTTGAGGCAAAAGCCGAGACCCTATCTGAAACAGAGCAAGAGAATAAGATGAGACAGAGAGAGAAAAAAAGAGAGAAAAGAAATGTGAATAAATCCTTGTATAAGTCTGCTTTCCTCCTGCCAAGATCTTGTTAAATAGCAAGTATCTCACATAGAGAATTGCGGATTTGAGGTCAGAGTTTTGAGTAAAAGTAAAAGCAGCAAGTTTTATGGTTTGGGGTAAATATGGTTTTTTTTTGGGGGGGGGGTCCGGTCATGGGGCCTGAACTTGGCCTGGGCACTGTCCCTCAGCTCTTCAGCTCAAGGCTAGCATTCTACCACTTGAGCCACAGCGCCACTTCTGGCTTTTTTCTTTTTTGCTTATGTGGTGCTGAGGAATGGAATCCAGGGCCTCATGCATGCAAGGCAAGCGCTCTACCAATGAGCCACCTTCCCAGCCCTAAATATGGGGTTTTTGAGATCATGAATATTATTTAGAGAAGTTTCACTGAAAGTTTTCTTTGAGGTCCTAGGAGCTGGCAAGTTAACTATTCCTCTGCATTACAAAAGTATCTATGACACACATGCTTCCCTCCATCTATTCAATAAAGATTTATTGAGAGCCTCCACTGTGTCAGAAGTATAACAAGACTCTGCTCCAGTCCTGTGAAGACAGACAGAAAGGCGCACTCTACTGCAGGGTAATGTGGACAATGACAGCAATTATAGAGCCTAGTAAAGTCGGAGGGGCCACATTGAAGACTGAGGGTGCTTTCAGGAGGAAGTACTGAACTGTGGCTTAGAGCAGGAGTGAGTTTAGACTGAGACAACTACTGGCCTTTGTGCAAAGGGCATGATGAGGAAAGGGACGTGTTCGGGGCAGTGGGACCAATCAAAGTGAATGAAGAACCCGAAGTTCCAGCTTTTAGCAAAGCAACTCAACGGTTGCTGAGAAGGTTACTATTTTGAGAAGAGGGTATTCTGAAGGCGCCCTGGAGTTTGCTGATGGCTGGGCCCCATGGCCTAGCTTACTTTCTTCCCTCACAGAGTATGGAGTGGGTATTCTTGGCCACCCAAGGGTGGGAGCTTGCAGGTCTGCCCAAGGATATTCAAGTGGAAAATTCATTCTTTAATCCATCAGCCATCAGCTCTGCTGGATCTCCTTTAGCTCAAGCCCAAGTGCTCTGACGGCTTTACCCTCAGAACATTGTCTGTCTAAATGCCACATTTCTGTACTTAATGTAAACTTTGAAGAGAGACTTGATTTTCATCATTATTTCCAGGCCACTATTCCATGTTATGAAAATTAAATATATTCATACAGCATATTTCTATGTAAGTTCCATTTTTATTTCATTTTTACTTTTTCCTGCCCAAGCTGGCTTCGAACCCTGATCCTCAGATCTCAGCCTCCTGAGTAGCTAGGATTGTATGTGTGAGCCACAAGCACCTGGCTTGGCCTATTATTTCTGAGTATGTCGTGGCCACAGCCCACATCAGTACAGATGCAGTGTGGCGATGCTTCCAGATGCTATGCAGAACATGAGAATTCCAGCACTTCCCTTGGGCTCAATACTGAGCAAGCCACACCACAGACCCAAGATACTAATAAAACCAATGTTTCCAGTAAGGAGGTCCTGCTGGAAAGCTCACCACTCATGGAGCAGATAAAATATGTTAGAAGACACTTCACTACTAATATTCCCTTTTGAAACCAAAACATCATAATGAAAATGCCAGACTTCAGATACATGGAAAACT